TATATATATATATATATATATATATATATATATATATGTATATAAAATATATGTTAAAATACAAGCCTGTAACAAGATATATAACATGCAAAATAGTATATATTAAATACTATATTTATCTTAAAATCTGCTGCTGAATTATGAATTATTTGAAGAGGGTTTAACGATAACCATTGAATCTGTACAAAATTGACAAGATATCCGCAAGTCAAAAGATGCGGGTTGTGAAATAGAAAAAATTATGTCAAGCAATTAGAAATACGTTTGTATATCGTACTCGTAAATATTTCTAGTCAAAGGGATTTTTTTTTAATAATTCGATTAATGATTATGTAAAACGTGTCACAGATCAGTTAAATTAAAGATCCCTCCGTAATTAAATAAAGTGACCTTTAAATATCAAGGGAAGTAAATCGCGGATCAAAAGACGCTAATAACGAACACGACGGCAAATCCAAAAAAATTGTTATCTTCGTGACGCACGAGGAAAGGAATTCTTTGATGCTATTTCAATTAGGAGTCTAAGTATAAGTTACATCGTTTAGCTTTTTTATGTTTTGTGGTAAATGTGCCTTACGTCGATTTTGCAATCCGCGAAAAGTCGCATATCTTTAGATCTGTAAACGTTAGCAACATGTCTTTGTTCACTTTTACGTTAATTAGAGGACGTTGCACCGATAACAACAGCCGACAACCGGATCGATAGCCGGATCTCGTTCTCGGCATCGTCTACGCACGCAGCTTTTCCTCCTCTCTCATCACTCGCCGCCGCGCCGTAACTCACGTTACGCATTACACTTATTACAGCGACCTAATTTTTCATACGTTATCCCTCATAGCAACGTGAAAGTACATTGGCTCGCGCAACGAGATAAGTACCGAATGAAAATCTGCCGTTTTGATAGTGATGAATGGCTCGAGAAGTTTATAAATGAAATAAATTTTCAGCATAAGCGTATTACTAGAAAATATACGGTGATAGATCAGCGATAGCTCGTATCCTTAAAAGAAACGTAGCGATATCTCTCAAGATGTACTCGAGCAGAATATCTCGTTCTATTCAACGCTATTTTTACGACTTAAAATTCAGTGTATTAACATTATAGCTTTCAGACCTTTCATCATACTTATTCTTAGAAAAAGCGAAAGAATATAAACAAAGAACACGAAAATAAAATCTTTTTTATGTTCTCTCTCTTATAGAGAAATAAATGTTCTGTTTAAAACTAAATTAAATCTCAGATTTTCTTCGATTTTTATAAACCGACTTTACGGTATTTGCACTTTGCAGTGCATCATAAAACTTGTTAAACGACTTTTTTGCCGTTTTATTTTTGTCTTTTATATTTAAAAAGGAATACAATTGGAAAATTTGTGTTAAATTTGATACATTTTACGTGTCTTAAATATCTATCCAAATTTTTGTGTTAATTTAACATAAAATAATACATTAAAAGTATTACAAATATTATGAAAAAAAAAAAACACGAAAATGTAATATTGTGAAACAATTTATACGCAAATTATGGAAGCGTATTTCATCAATACTCTTAACACTTATATGTAAATATATTATGTTTTAAATTTATTATATATATATTAAATTGATGTGTGTACATTTCATTAATTTATCTTAGAATTTACGTTTTAAAATACATTATTTTTATATTATTTGTTCATTTACAAATTGTGTTATTTTAAGATTAAGAAATGTTGAATATCAAATTAGCACAAAATATTTAAATAACACAATCACATTATGTTAAACTAACACTCAACAATACATTATAAATTCAACACAAACATTTTATCAGGTTTAACACAAATACAAAATAGTATATTTGTGTAGCTACTAACTTTTTGTTACGGATAAAATCCCTTCCTTCGAATTTCTTCCTTTTTCTTAATTTATCTTCGCCTGGAATTTACGACTGAAGGGACAGTGATTTTGCAAAGTCCCTATGTTTGCACATATTTTGCCATCAGAAAACGGAAAGCATAGACCGAAAGGTACTCAGCCCGGGACACACCGACCTATAGGTCAAAGTTGATATTGCCGTATCACGATATTCCGACCGGCGTTTCCGCGTGTTTCGGATCAACGAGACACCCGGAAGGAAAGAATTGCCGTGACTTTTACGACCATTTGTCTCCATCAGCGTGGCATCGACTTTCGCTGTTAAGTATCCGCCCTGTTCATTCTTCGCGCTTTTACGTGTACTAGAAATTAGGTCACGAAAACATTTCGCATGCGGATGAGTGAATCCCGAGATAGAAATATCCTCGAGGTAGAAATATCTCGAGATAGTGGTATTCACCGTCGCGTATTTAGCGTTAAACGCGACCATAATTTCCATCTCACGCTTACTCTGCGTGCGCTCCTCGCATTAGGCAAATGAGACATATAAGGGAAACATGTAAAACAGTGGCGGCGAATTTGCGGCATGCGGCACTGAATCGAGACACCACGATTTTTCCATATAAAAATTATTTATGTTTGTTTTGTACATACAAAATTTAAACATTTCTTAAAATAACAACATGAAATAAATATATTTATATTATTACATTTATATTAAATAAAAATCGACCGATAAGACTAAACATATATGAATAAAAAATGCTATATCCGTTTAAGATAATTCTTTCTGACTAATATTTCTTGTAAATTTATGCAACTTTCAGTTTAAGTCAACTTTGTCAGTTTTGAAACACAGTCTTAAATCGAAGCTGAAGTAATATCACAAATTAAATTGCAAACAATTTAATATTATTGCTGCAAATAAGTATTTTAAAAAGCTGTTAATGATTTGATGCTAATAAGAATCTTAGAAATTGTAAATAAAATAAACTGTAACGTAAACTGGAAGTTGAATAAATTTACAAGAAACCAAATATGGCATTTTTCATTCATGTATGGAATATATTTATTTTATGTTACATTTACGCATTTTATAACATTAAAGAAAACTTTATAAATAAAAGATAAATTGCAACGAATGTGTTTTATTAATATCCATTTAAATTCTCGCATTAAAGATCCTCATTTCACAACTTCCTCTTAAGTTTAGCAAGACTTACGCTGGCTCATAGAGAGCAACGTAGCCGCATTTCGCGTTTAAACGCGCATTGAAAGTTCTGCGCCACTCAGGAATATATCTTTCAAAAGCTTGACCAAAGTTCCATGATCGAAAATCTTTCAAGACGTTAACGCGCAAGGGTATCGAGGATCACATAGAGCGATGGCGATGCTGAAAGGGCTCAGCGAGGTGAAGACGCGATTTCGCTGTGCCGTTCAAAAGATTTTCGTTAGCGCATGCTAGTAATAGGCGTAGCGGCGAGCTGAGGAGTTTAATTAATTAATCCGGAACTGTGCGACGAGCGCAAAGCGGCCACCCTTTGCTCACTTTGCGGTACAAGGTGGCGGAGTTCGCTGCCCGCGCTGCTGTTATAACACGCGAAACTTTCGAGCGCGGGCATCGTCGTGGAAACTACGGAAAACATAATACAATCGTTTATCCTTCGCACAGCTTCGGAGATCCGTAAGAGAAAAATAAAATTGTTCTCTGCTGAATGGGGGGAGTTGTTGAATTTCCACCTGTATATTCGCGGCGAAGGTTCAGATTATTTCCCTTTGTGGAAGATTGAAACGGGAAGTGGTAGTTCAGTTTTACGGCGAAGATCTTATCAAATAATATATCGAGCAAATGAAATTTATGTAACTCGAACAATTTCGTGAACTTTATCCAATTGCGAATGAAATCTATGCTTAAATTTTGCTTCAGTAATTTTGAATGACGTTGACGAGAGACGGTTATAAAAATTGTACAGGAGCATCTTTTTCAACATCGTGTGATGGTATTTGTCAGTGTCAAGTTGACTTTTTGAAAACTTTTCTATAGAGGTTAAACCTTCAAAAACTGACTTTTCATGCGCGACAGCCCACTTTCATTAGACGCTCGTTACGTTTGCAGAAGAAACGAGAAGGGATTACGCGGAGAGTACCGCGAGCGTTTTTTTCAGTAAAAATTTAGGTCGAGAAGAATATTTTGAATGACGGTTTTTCGGAAATAAGAGCGATACGAGATAGACTTTTATATCATAAGCCCTCGAGGCCGTCAACTAGTATTTACAATATTTTTTGAACGCGAGTATGTATACACTAGGAAAAGAAATTTAGTACCTTCGATAAAACTGTTTAGTTGAGGCATTTTTTAACAGCAACCAAACATTTTGTTTACATAATAAAAAATTTAGTTGTTTTTGAAAATAATTTCATCATGTAAATAATAAAAAAATATTTGTTTATAGCAAGTAAACAATTTAGTTTGCGTAAAATATTACAGTTTTGTCCGATACATTTCAACTAAAAATTTTTATTTCATATATTTCAACCAAATTTCTGTTGTTTCAGTGAAATTTTGGTTTATGGAACAAAACATTTTCCTAGTATATTTTACAGCTGTCGCGCGATTGGAAAGACAGGACGAGACAGAATGGAGAAATTCATCGATGAATTATCGCTTTATTAAACTTCAACAATATTTCTTGTTATATTGAAATTGGAATTTATACATTGAAAGATGAGAAAATTAATATCGATCAAGCAAGTTAATAAAAAGTTAATTCAAGTTTTTGCAAAGAAAACTTTAGCAGCAGTTAATCAAATAAAAACTTATCAAAGCTTGTTCAATTATATTTCTATCTTTATTCAAGAATGGATATATTTTTTTAAATCAGTTCTCTCGCAAGTTGAAAAGTTGGAATAAAGCTTGATTCGTTGATTTTAATAAAAAGCGTTTGGGATATAGTTTAGTTTTGTTTCAATCGCAAGAAAATAACAAGTTCCGGAGTAACTATTGCGATCGAGTGTCGAAGATGACTGCTAAGGCTCTTCTCTGAGATGTCACGCGAGGATATAATATAACATATCTGTTTCAAAGCATCTTTAACGACTATTATCGAAACTCCAGTCTAGCGTTCCACAATGATTAATTTGTTAATGCGGCATCGAGCACATCTTGATGGAATCCTCTATTCTTGGTTCGAAGTTCTCCGGATGGCATCCGCCACCCCGAAGAACTTACCTTGCCGAGGGCGCATAAACTTCCGTGAGTCTAGCTATTTTAACGATGGTAACGAGGAAAGTTTCAGGCATTCGAAGCGTTTCGGTTGTGCACCAAGCTGCTCGCAAGACGCGACGCGTTCGCAATCGTATTCGAACCTGTTCCGCGCAACTCTGAGAATGAGTGAATTGAAAAGCAGTTTTAAACGTATTTCCAACACGTTGATACCAGCTTCCCGGATGTTAGCGCAGATCGCACGAACAATCTTCGAATCACTTGCGAAACACGCCTAAGACTGACGTAAAAAGAAAATAAGCCGAATTACAGAAGGAAACGCGAGAGTTTCTTTCGAATGTCGATACTTCACGAGTTATCGCAGCCTTCCCGTTCGTTAAAGTTTCATCAAATAAAACGAGGGAACATCGTCGTAATCAAGTCGATTCAAGATAACTGGGAAGTTTTATAAATCCGATTTTTTCTTATCAGCTGTTAGTTGAAAAAAATCTAATTTATCAAGTCCAAGAGAGGAATTCGATCGAGGTATATATCTTTAAAAGCTTTTCAACTTCCTCGTGGAAAAATTCGAAAGTTCCGATCATCCACGTTTCGAGAGGGGGTGTCTCATCGATTTGTCTTACTTATCTGGCGCCGTTAAAGAAACATGATAGCTATTTGTATGTACTTGATGGTCGAGTATAATGGAGACGAGAAAGGTAGGCTCGACTCACCTTTCTCCAGAGGAGCTCTCTTGTACTTCTCCAGCCTTTTGACTGCAATGGCTTCAAGGCGCACCCTGGCAGCCGGATACTCCTTGAGCACGTCCCACATGTCCTTCTTGCTGAGGACGAAGAGGTCCGAGTAGCCGACCGAGCGCACGCTGGCTGTTCGCCGGTTACCTGCGTCGATGTAGCCATTTATTGGTTATCGGGATGCATCAAGCTTTCTTATGTAACCGCACTGTCGATCGATTTGTCGATCGTTCCGCCGTTTTACCTACAGTAGACCCGTTCTCATTTCCTCGGCCCGGATGCACGTGGTTCCGATTGCACGCTCGATACGTCCGCGAGCGCGTACCAGCTATCTCTTTAAGATCCTTTTACATCGTTTTATACCCGTACAAAAGCGCTGTAATTTTGATTAATCGGGTTCGTTACGGTTCAATTTTCTATGTTAATTGATTGCCAGGTCGCTCAACTCGTTTTCCCGACTTTTTCAGAAAGACATTTAATCCGTCCGATGTTTGTTGGCTGATAAATTGATGGATAATAGCGGATACGAATTCATTGTCCCACGGTTTTACCATATTTATCCGCTTCCGAGCGTGTTTTTTTCGCATCTTTTGCGCGGAATAGAATGTAGTTAATTTCCGGTTAGAAAAAGAAAAACCCGCAAGCTAGACTAATGAAGTAGTTTGCCCAGAATGTGATAATGGCGCAGCCGAGCCATTGTTTACAACTTTAATTGGTGTCAACGATATTTTATATACCGGCGTAAAAGGGCGCGTAATTAACAGGATAACGAAGAGCATAATTGCTTCAGACTACAGACGTACGTGCAAGTCTGAAAAGTAGCAATAACAGACGCTACCGAGCATGAACTTTATAAATTTTGGGGAAAGATTTAACCATTAGATAAATGTTGTGTTTAGAAGTTCCGCTTCATTAGTATGCTAAGCAATATCTATGCGAATATACCCGAACTGTAATACAAATTGTAATAATTAAGCTTAAGGCGACGGGAAATTCTTCCAGCACTTGATTGAAAATTATGCTTACACGTCCACGTTGAGCTGATAATTGTGGCATGCGGCATACATCTCTCTGTTACAATGAGAATTGTAAATAGCCGGTCGCAATTCGCGTCATATATTATTCAGAAAGTTTTCGAACGCAGCTATTCCCTCTGCTCCGCTTTTCGCTCGGTTTCAAATATCGTAATACGCGCGGAATCGTTAACCGTATATCGAAGAAATTTAGCGGATGGAAATTCCGCTTCCATATTCCTCGAGTATCTGAATTACTTATTTCAAACGGTCTTATCCGATAAATAGACTCCGACGTGTTATGAAGGATACAAATTACCTAAGAGCATTTTATCTTTTCAGAACTCGCGAGATATTTCGGTAAAATAAAATTTTGTGTTGTGTATTTATTAGGTTACAATATATTTATTAAGTAGCGAGTTTAACGAGATGCTAATTCACAGTTTATTTATTAAGCAGTGAGTTTAACGAGATGTTAATTTTGCGATTGTTATTCGATTACGGTACGATGATTAAATAATTTTATTGTACATTTTTCGACGGAAAATTCTGCGATTAATTTCTCGAAAATAACGTGTATAAACAGACGATGTGCAAATTTTACCTTATTTCTTATTATTATACATCTTAATTTTAATAAAAGTATACCAATATACCTATGTTTTGCTGTAGTTTCTTTGGCAACGATCTTTTATCGCTGTTTGTGTCAAATTTTACTTGTCAAATACTACTTGCATAGATAGCGTTAATATATTTGCAATGAACAATATCAATACTTGATAGTGGATATATTTTTGAAGAAAGGTAGTCTATTTTGCTTTTTCCTCGATAATTTTCTTCTTTATACTGGAAATAGTGAAAGCAAGATAACAAAATCGGCTAACTTTCTTCATGAATAAGTCAAAGCAACCAAGTTATATAACTTGATGTTTCAAAAGCTAAGATAAAGGACACTAGAAACTACTGTAATCAATTTGTACATGTGTATATATATATATATATATGTGTGTGTATGTGTATGTAAATATAGATATAATTATTGATAATAATTAGTAATAATAATTTGGCGGATCTGAATGCAGGCCAATACAACCGTACGAAATCAGCACGCATTACAGAAGTAAAAATTACAATTATCAATAAGAGCCTACGTTAGGGAGTGATGGCGACAAATTGTGAGAAAGATATGTGAATGGTGCAATGAATAGTAATATGATAATATATCGCGTGAGAATGGAGATGCTTGTAGGAAGGCATTTGTAAATGACACTCGAGCGCAATGATAATTCTCGCAGACAATCAAACCGCCTGTATTAAAGCCATAAATAATCGTGGTCGATTTATAAGCGAATAAATCGGTCGTTTACAAATGCCATCCCTTAATTGTAAATGTTATAATAGATAACAATTAATAGATATGCAAATGTTATAAGAATAAGAAATGTACAGTCCCAGCGCAGCGTTGCAGCACCGATTGTGAGAGTCAAAGATATGATGCTGAAAGGGGCGCGACTAAGGAACTGGATCCGAATCGATCCAGTTTTAAGCTATTTCTTCTAATAGAGCTACGAAAGCGAAATAGAAATTGTGAGCACGATTGACTAAAAATATGATTCATTAAAACCTTATCGACCGGTACGCCTTGCTGAGTCGCCGTCTGCTATTCCGTCTGCGATTGACACACTTACTATCTATTTTTGAATAAAAAAAAAAAAGAGAAGAATAATTTCGATACGTTATTGAACGATGATTCGATCTGAATCTTATCTCTTTAGCCTCGTATTCTTCACTTCGAAACGTGAGTGTCGCTAAAAATTCACGATGAACCGCAGAGGCGCAAGCTAGGCGCCGTAAAAAAGAAGCTTTCAATCCTGATATTTTACGACGTACGTCATAATTCGGTCGGTCGTTCCGGTCGATCGTAAATAAAAAAAAATAAAATGGAGTACAGTAGCCGTGAGAAAAACTGAAGAAGAGTGGAGACTAAAGGGCAATACGTGTCACGGGCCTTATTCGAGATGCGTCGACGGTCTCGCAACGACGGACTCCGCCGCGTGTGTTCTTGCGGAATTCAATTAACTGTTACTGTTTACTAGATAAGCAGAGTATTATAAAAATTCTGACTCAATGCAAACACAATACAAAATTCAAATGTAAATGATACGTTTGCACGACTGAAAACGCCCACGGAATCCACGGCAATACCCTGGCACGACCGGCACTCTGTTATCTACGAGTAACAGCATATGAAAAGCTTTTTACACTTTCGCGAGAGACAATATTGCCCAGTTTTGTAGATACAATACGTAACGGAGTTACAAGACTTATGTTTGCTAAAAACATGAGCCGGTATAGCCGACGGCATAAATAAGAGAAAAATTCTTTATCAGCTATTTTATAAAAAATATAGAGTAATATAAAAGATTAAATTCTTTTAATTTAATAACGGCGAGGATCGAGGCTCTAAAAATATCAGGAGAAAATTCAATTTGACCCAGATTAAGATTACTTAGATGGGGACCCAAATGTTGCTCTTATTAGCCCGAAGTTTCTTCACGGCAAATGCGAATGCAATGTTCGTCCGAGAAAAAGAGTTTTCTAAAAGAAATTTGATAGGAGAATAAAGTTCGTGCCGTCTCCGAGGCGACTCTTTATATGCGCTGGCGGGCGTTGGATGGTTATTTTTTTTTTCGTCTCGACGAATCATTCGAGGAGAGCCGATCCTCGAAAACAAGAATGAGACCCGCCATCGATCCTGCGCGGACGGCTCTATACTCTATCCTGACAAGCGAAGGCAATAGAATTGTCGAGGTAGAGAAATTGGAGCGATATTTTGCATTGCCAATCTTTTTTTTTCGCTCTCGAGCGGTAGCAAAATTCTGGAAGACGCACGAGTGATTCGCGGTGCTTTGGAAGTCGGTTTTCCTATCACGTTCATTAAATTGTGCAAAAAAAAAATGTAAGTGAGGAAAAAGAAATTTGCCCTCGTTAATTCTTTCGTCAATGTGCGCTCGACGAATGCGAATGACTATTTCAGTTTAGTGTAGTTTGTTGCTGTTCAGTCATTTGATATAGTATGCGCGTGTTATAAAATTAATCTACTGAAACCTATTATTCTCTAGAGTCTAGATTATTTATTAACTACTTGTTTATATTTTTTTTCTACACAAATATTTTTTCTATTTCTTACACTAAGTTCCTTGATTTGTTAAATTTCTTTTTATAAAAATATGTTCTATCTATTTTTTATACTCTGCAAGTTATCTTAATTTGATTTAATTTCCATTTCGCATTTAAAATGGAAACGATGCATTCTGCGGAAGAGATACGTGAAGCTTCTAATTCAACAGTCACATTCTGCAGTAAATTTGTGGTAATTATATGTGCCATAAATTTTGCGATAAATTTAATAGGAAAGTATCCTATACAGAGCCGGCGAAATTATCCACGTAGGATAGGATAACGCAACGTCAATCACAGTTAAATTAGATAAAGCTCGTCTTTCAGTGTGTTTGAGAGAATATAATATCACGACCGTGATAACAGAGACGGTAAAACTAATTTAATTCCCTGTTTATTTATTTAATATTTGCGTAAATTTAAATTTGCTTTAATTATTATTTAACTTTGTTCAAAATGTATTTGAAAATTATACTTAATTTTGAAAACAACCGGAAATAAGCTTTTAATAATGCAATATTTATCGCTAATATTTCTCTTGTATGCGGATTGGAATAGTTACTGAGAAATTTCAGATAAATGTATTATCGACATTTTTGTTAATAACAAGAAGTACACCACTCTGAATTAAATAAATAATAATGAGGCGCGCGTAAATATTATTATATAATTGAGGAAATAACATGACATTGATATGTAAATTAGTTTAAGAATGTATTCCGTTTATTATAAAAAACTTTTATTGAAATTGTAATCAGGAAAAAGTATGTAATTTTTGATAAATACAAATTTTGATACTTTTTTAAAATTTACCTCGGTTTTTTTTTAAATATCATTTGTATCGTAACTATTTATCCAATATAAAAATCAAAGGATTGATATTCATCGAAGCTAGGGGAGTGATTATTAATCCTATTAATTTCGTTTGGAGATTAGTAATCGATGTATATATTTAAATTCTGTTCACCGCGCGGGCGTCGTTGCATGAACGTCGATCGCGATTAAAAAGGTGAAAATCGATAAGTGGGACAAGTCTGCGAGAAAAAGAGAGATAGTGAAAAATTGCTAGACAGATCGTTTTTAGATCGGCTCATACCGGCTCGACGGCTTGCCCTCTCACAGAGTGGTAAGAACGTGAAACGTGAAAACGTGATCGTGAAAAACGAAGGGGGACAGCTCACGGGCCCCTGGTCCGTTTGGAATATTTACCGCACTCTTTACCTGCGGTCCCCATATTGAGAATGCTGATCTCCCCGAAGTAGGAACCCGCCTTAAGGGTGGCGAGCACCGTCTTCCCGTTGTCGGCTACCACCTGCAGTCGGCCCCTATTCACTATGTACATCTCCTTTCCCACCTCACCTGCAATCGCACAAAAGCGACACTTAAATTAATTATTCCGTTAACTGTTTCTATCTTTGACTCTAATTTAATCAAGGCGTTTAAGTTTCTCGGCGGCCTTGCAATCCCCCGATAATAAAGCTTATATAAAGAGACATTGGTACAAGTCACATTTTCTCTACTTCAAGGAATAAAAAGTTTTGTGAATGTACTTAACATAAATTTTAGCTCTTTTTACGTAGTCTCTCTTTATGAGTCTATAAAAATAATAAGCCGTCGGTGCCATTGGTTAAAGTAGTTGATATATTTTAAGACACATGAGACAAGTGCTGGTACCTTCTTTCTTTAATATAATACATTTCTTTAATATAATACAATGTATAATGTATACGTTCCTCTCCAATCTAATTTTTTTCTTCATCATTAACTACGACGTATTTTTCAATGTAGGAACAAAACGGAGAAAAAGAAATAAAATAAGAATAAGAGCTGATAAATTTTAATAAACACATAAATTGTTTTTTATTTCTTTCTAAAATATGAGCAGAAAAAAAACCAATTCATTGACATTGAAAGAACTGCCCTTAAAATAATTGCGTCGAAAGTAAATTTGCAACTTTCCGCGCAAAGCAAGGTTTACCCCCACTGCCTGATGCTTTAGATTCCCCTGATGAATACCCCGATAGAACAACGTGTTTATTAAATTATACGACAAAATCTTGCATAAAATTTGTAATTTACAATTTTATAGAAATATAGATATTTACAGAAACTGAAGTAGAAACTCTGATCTTTTTTAAAATATTAATAACGGTATCCAATTAATTTTGACATGATACTTTGGTAAAATAATAACCATATGTTGAATAATATTAATGAAAAATTAATTTTAAATCTTGAAAAAAAATTGTCCAATAATTGAGAAAATCATTTCAGCCGTATTTTAGAAATATAATTGTACTCATAAATATGCACAATTATTATTAAATTATTATATTGTAGAAATATTGCAACCTAAAGTATTATACATTTAGCAATAGCTAAATTTAGAATTATTTTAAGTTCCAATGGCTTTTGAGATGCATGTAATATGTTCCAATATTTGTTCGAAAATATTCTTCAAGCATTTGAAAATAATCGGATAATATCCAGATTTGTTTCTTCAATATGCTATCGGTAACTCGTTCGTTATCTTTTCAAAAAAGTAAATTAAAAAATATTTACATCTTAAATTAGATTTGTTCAATTTTTGATAAATGAAAATTTTATTCTATTTATTCTATTTTATTCTATTTAAAAACTTTATTCTGACAAAACTGTTATGTTATGACGAATTATCTTAGTGTAATTATTGATAAATTGTAAATTTACGATTAAAAGATTGGTAGATAAAAATATTAAGAGGAATGGCAAAATATCCTTTACACACAAGCACATTATTATATAACAAGTCGACGGCGATTATCCGTACAGAATTAATATATAAATAACACTATTGATGATAAATGAGATGAAATTAAAACGAAAATTGTACTGTAATGTAAAGAAAAATAAGAAAAAAATTTTTAATTAATTTTTTAAATATAAGTAATATATAAGTAGAATTGTATTAATTATCGAATGAGTAGAACTGTATGATTTAGGAGTTTATGCAAATTCAAATACATATATACATATATCAATATTTATATTCGGTCAAAGAAACGTACCTTTGTTTTCGACTTTCTATAGCAGTTTCTACAAAACAGTTTAGAATTGTTTCTATACCTTCTGTGATTAGTCGTGAATATTCCGTAACACAAAACGGTTATAATGGCAGAGCAAGAAGCAACAGATTGTCGTGATTTATTCCCGATTCGTCAGTGAATACGTAGACATTACAAAAAAATATCAAAAACTAATAGTGCGAAGTGCAATCATTGTTGTTTCTGTATATCAGTTCGACCCTCGTCTTCCTTACTCGATCATTTGTATACCATTTGTACAGTACCATCCAAACAAATTAACAGATAAAGAAAAGAAAGATAAACTTACATGTTGGATATGAGATTATGTTAGAATCATAAAGCACACACAGTATGTGACATGTAACAGATGTGGCCTAGAACTTAAGAATAGAAAAGATATCAAGAATATATGTAAACACTTAAAAAACATGCACGAATAAGTGTACATTAAAGGTTATCAAAAATTGATACTAAAAAATATAAAACTGACAGCAATTGATGGTAATAAATAAATTATAATAGTAATAAGGCTCAATATATATATATATATAAAATTAAAAAACAAAAAGGAAAAGGGCTACAAGCCTAAGGTTAATCGTGTTTAATTATAATTTAATTATAAATTAAAAATTAAAAACGTTAGTAAATAAACATGTCATTTAGTTAAAATATAAAACTTTAATTTGCCGGCAATAAACAAACAAAACAAAAACGAACGTTTCTTGGATCATTATGAATGTTAACAAAAATAACGGTAACATTATTACAAAGAGAAAATATATAAAAGTGATACTTCGCTCTCAATCGCAGTATTAACGTTGTCAATAATTTCGCATAGTATGTAGTAAATATTGTAATTAGAATGTTACTAACGTTTTCAATTTTTAATTTATAACGATTAACCTTAGGCTCATAGCCCTTTTCCTTTTTATTTAATAATATATAAATAACATCTGAAAAACAATGTAATGATTAAAATAGGTGCTCAACACTTATCGGCATATGTGTACTATTACTATATTTAATATGCAAAAAAGTATAAATTAGCAAAATTTATTCAGTTTAATTTTCGTAAAGAAGAATCAGATGTATAGTATATAAGATTTGTATTTATCACATTGCCATACTAGATCGCATCTCAATGTCCAAGTAATAAGTTGAAAGTTATAAAGTAACACATTAGTCCGTATAAAGGAGTAGTGTACATAATTGAAACTAATTTCTATGTTGTATTTTTTATTTCCTTAATCATTCTGTATTTAAGTGTATAATTCTATATTTAAATTAAATTATGTGTAGGATATTACCTCCATGTATAGATGATACGGATTAATAGTGATGCAAACACGTATACAACTACACAATAAGACCAAATGCATTCAGCAACTTCATCTAGAATTTGTAAAAACATGGAACAAATAGGTATTCTTAATAAGTAATTATTCATTATACATGTATTATATTTATTACAATATAAATAGGTTATTTGAACTATACATTGCGTTTCCTGTATAAATATAAGAAATATTAATGAAAAACAAGTAGAAAATAAGGGAACAGTTGTATTAAACAAAGAATAACTAAATAATGTTTGTAATAAATAATAAAATTTTAGTATTTTATATTCACTAATAAAATTGTTTAACCCAAAACATATATGCAATATAAGTATCAGAACTGGAAAACCTTACTTTCTATAATCCATTATAATGATTTGGCAATAACATTGCAACTTTTTATGGTATTTAACAATTTAATTAAAAGCTAAGATTGGGAAAATTACTTTTAAAAAGTAACTTATCACTATGTATTGCTTATTAAAACAAAGTAACTTACTATTTGTAACATGTATGTCGAATTATTACTTTTAATTGTTACTTTAACTCGTTACAAATAATGAAATCCCTTTTTCAATAAACAACGCGTAATAACACGTTATCTTTAAAAATAACTTTTTCCCAACATTTAATTTTTAGTTAATCATAAAAAATTGCACCGTTATTATCAAATTGTTATCATAAAAAATAATAATAAAAGTAACAACGTTATTTAGTTTCCATCTCTCTCAGCGTAAAACAATATACATCCACATATATTCCATTCAAAAATAACGGTTATCACATAATTACAAGTAATATAAATTACTTGTTTAATTACTTAATTAATTATTGACAATATATAACGCGAGTTGAATATTATGAAAAGTTTAACTTTTAGTTTAAGTAGATTTTGTGACTCATATAAAATTACATAAGATATTATTATAATTTTTGATCTTTAATTTTGGATCTTTATTTCCATAGAAATATGGCAGGCCAAATTTTGGATCTTCCTCTTCGAAGAAATGTGAAAAATCATAATTTGGATTTTTCAGTCCATGAAGATATGGATATAGCAGAATGTTTGTCACTTCCAAGCCAATCATCTCCAGTATTTTTTTATTTTAAATTTTGTGAAAGAATCTTCAATTATACACAGAAATAATTTACAATGCATTATATGAGTTTCTCTTGTGTTATATTTTATTAATTATTGACAATATACGACGCAAGTTGAATATTATGAAAGGTTTAACTTTTAGTTTAAGTCGATTTTGTGACTCATGTAAAATTATAAGATACTATTATAATTTTTCTAGGTGTAAATTTGTAAATATTTTATATTAACAGATTATCTTTTAATATTTCAATTCATGAAGATATGGATATAGCAAGATGTTTATTACTTTTAAGCCAATCACAATTTTCAGTATTTTTTGATATTGATTTTTGCGAAGAATCTTCAATCATTTTATACAGAAATAACTTATATGTAATGTATTATGTGGATTGCTCTTGTACTTGTATTTTATTAATTACACAGGCCTACAAAAAAAGTACTCTGTGCTGGGGTGAAGACCCAGCTATTCTTATGTATTTTGAGTCGCTGAATACGAATCTGGCATAAAAACTGTTGACTCCGTTAAAAAATTGTTAACGGTGCAGTTTAATTTTATTAATTTTGAACAGTTTGATTGCTTATAGTTTTGCAATTATTGCAAGAATGACAAAAAATTGATATTTGAAATATGAAACCAGCCCAAATACTCATTATAAAATTTTATATATATATAGATATATGTTTATATATATATATAAATTTTGTTACAGATTCTGCAGACCAATTCGGCTGCTAACTCTGACTATCGACCAAAATGAATCAATAAGGCTGACTCCGATTGTGATTGGTTATGGATCAACAGTTAGAGTTGGCAGTCGGATTGACCTGCAAAGTCGGTAATCTGATATGGATTTTAAGGGGATCCTAAAGTAAAGATCGAATTCGGACAAAATCGCTATTTTACCTATTTAAATAGAACTTAAATACGTATACAATTTGTGTTATTGACATATTGTGCATCAATATCTCATGTACACATAAAAACGATATTGTATAGAATTAGATGTCTGAATCTAATTCCAAGAACTCGGTGTTATTTTTTCGTATATTGTATTAGTATGTACAATTTCGTAGAATTGCAGAGCTTATATACATTAAGCAATTATTGTAACAATTTGACAACTAGATAATGACTAATATTGATTGGACTATGATGTGGTAAGGAAGACTTAAATTTAAAAAATTTTTGTCGTTTTTGGCGACTAAGATATTTTGTATGTACAATTTTAAACTAAAAAAAAAAAAGATTAAACTTTCTCTCCAACCCAATATATCATTTAATGAAAATTATTGTTAATTAGTAAAACAGACGACTTTAGAAGTTCTTCATTAATGATCCCTTATGTTTATTGCAAAAACCTATTTGCAATATATATATTTCTATACGATTATTTTAATTTTCTTCCTTTAATTTTATTTTTGTGTTAATGTTTAAAAAAATAAAATTTTACATTTATAAAATTATATTATAGATATTGTCAGTAAAAATTACATTCTAGAAATTTTATTTTATATTAAATAACTGTATTTAACGCATAAAAAAATATACTTCCTCCTTTAGACTCCGAATCACATCATCTTTTTTAAAAAATATAAAATGTACTCCTTTCATATGACTCAGAGATAGTAACCCTAGCTTAAAAGATAGTATAAAAGAGCGCAACAGGATACGCCAAGAACGGCCGTCATTTGTCCGGCCAGTAGTAACGTTCAGCTATAATTCCGACCTTAATCGCGCGATGCAACGACGGAAATGCGCGAAGAAGGCGGCCACCTATCAAAGGGGAGGTATTACTCTCCGCATTCCTACGCGCACATGGCGGTCATTCCGTCGGTAGTGAAAAGAAACCCCGTCGAGAGAATAAAGTGAATGGAAGGCAAACGATCCGCGGGGAAGACGATTCGCTTTGGCAAGCTAAAATTGCTCTTTTGACCGCTTATAGATCGAGAACAAATACTAAATACATCGAAAAAAACGACGGGCAATAGCGTAAGCTTTTATTTGTACACAATCTACGTTACGAGTATTCAGACAATTTCTAATGCGCCATAAATATTCAAAAAAGATAGAGAAATCATATTTTTCAGCGAATTTCGACTAGGTCTCTCGATATTCAGAAGCATAACTGCTTCCTAAATGTAATTGACATTTAAACAATCGTAAACTTTGATCGTTTCATATAAGACAAAATATGAATTAAAACAAAAACTTACGTTCCGTAATATTTGAAGAATTGAAGTAAAATTAGGAATCCTCTTTATGACATAAAAAAGAAAATAAATAATCTTTTTTAACGATATTGAATTCTATTATTCGTAAAAGGAAAAGATTTGAAAACTGTATGTTGAATGGCGGTGTCAGTCGTTAGAATTTACAAGCCGTTTCTCTATGCAATTGGACTACGAAAGTAGTTACACAGATGAGAGAGGGGAGAGGGAGAAGGGGGAGGGAGATGGGGGCTCGTGCTTTCTTCTATCGCATTGATAACGAGCACGACAGTCACTTTTTCCGTCGTAAAATAAAAATATTCGCCTATCAGCGACGGTGACAGGGATGGCACATAAAGGGAGAGAGAGAGAGAGCGCGAATAGTCATTTTTCACACCCATCGTTTGGCATGCTTCCAGCATTGCGTGCTTCCATAAGCAGGATACGCCGAATCCGCAGAGAAATCATAGAAATAGGAAGATGTCTAGGATTCGTGTCCTCGAGAGACCGTAAATGGTGATGGAAATGAGCAAAAGTCGGCTGCTAACAATGGAACATTTAGCCACATTTTTTATCTAAATTCTAATTTACGACGATACTTTTTTCTCGCTAAAGTGGCTTGCAAGGAAGATTTTGCATAGAACACACACACCTCAGTGAGCAAGAAACATTTTGGAATATTTCTGCAACACTGTAACAATGTTGTAACGTTGTTACAATGTTGCTGAAATGTTCAAAAATGTTTCTTGTTTACTTGAACTCAGCCTAATGATTCCGAGTATCCTGCGCCGGAAGTAGCCGCTGGAAAAAATGATAACTAGGCAATTTACCTTTGCGGCAGATGTAGTCGCCAGGTGAGAAAAGAACGGGCCGTAATCGCAGCACCAGCTCGCACAGGAAGCCAGCCTCCGTGTTTTGGAAGATCTCGACCCTCCTCAGCGTGTCCAGGTGCACGTTTATCGCGATTTCTGCCTTTAGCTTATCTGCGAAAAAGAGAAAATGATTGCGGAGTGTAAAAAGAGGGAAAGAAATAGGGAAGGCCTTGTGTACAGTGGAGGAAATATTAGAAATAAGTATTAAGATTTTCATCTGTTAGAAATTATATATTCCAGTGTAATCAATTTCTGGTTGAAATCTTAATATTTATTCTTGTTCCTAATATTTCTTCCATTGTGCGTAGTTTCTAAAAATTAGAACGTAAAAAGAGAAACAGGGAAGAATCAGAATCTCTCCGAATTAATTCCGGAGAGAACAGTTCAACTTTCGCCGCGCAGGACGTGCTGAAAACGCAATGTATACGGTCGAGACAGATCGCTATAACGTGTAAAGGGTGTGTATCTATTTTTAATTAACTTGCAATTTCAAAAATTTACACAATGCATGCTTTTCACCCTCGTTTTCCTTCCGTTATTTTATATACTCTTCTCTCTTTTGATATTTAAAATTTCGCAACGCGTGTGGTTAAATTTTTGTACGCAACAATTTCACATCGCTGCATAGCGGAAGTCATTGTGACCTCCAGAGAACTGTTTCCGTTGCATTGCATTGCACGGCAACTTCATCCGAAATTTCAAAGAGTAAAACCATTCTGAGAAGAAAAGATGTTTTTATCAAAGCTCGTCTCATTAGCGTGAGAGACACTTCTCATTCTTATCTGCAAAAGGTGAAAAAAAAAATCCCTGTTACAATTAAGTGAAATAAAAATAGTCAACTGAAGTTCTTTTATAAATCGATATGCATGCATGGACTGTGATATATTCTTTATAAATTAATATTATTTCTTAATATTATCTCGAATGTAAAATTATTAATATTTTTCTACAAACTCTCAATAATAAATTAAAATTTCCATTATAAAGAATGTCTCCGATTTCAATATCCGTTCTTTTCGGAAGTCTAAAGAGCTTTATTATTATAAATCTCTTATTATAATTATTAATTATTTGCTGTTTAAACTTTATATTACATTTGTAATTAAATAATAGTAATTCGCTTTGCAATAGTCTTGCATTTCTATGCAATCACTTTCTTGGCGAAAATATCAATATTATACATATAATAATTAATATTAATACTAATATTAATAAGCAAATATACTTTATTAAGTGCCTATTGTAATATATATTAGGTTACGTAATTAATAATTAATAATTCTTGCGCAAACTAATGGCAGTTTCGTAAAATAAAAATTTATTGACTCGGTATTATTTCCCACACGAATCCTTGATTACAAGGATAAAGTTTAATATATTGTTACTATTGTTGTTAAGATAATTATAACTAAATGCAGAAATTGGTAGTTAACCCAGAAGCATGTCGATCGTATAAGTACGCTACGATGTTACTATTGTTATTGCGGCAATGCAACTGTGTAATTAGCACTAAGTTCCGCAAATTAGCGTTAATTATGATTATGCAAGCTGTAATAAGTATCGGTAAAACGTTAGTATTTTTCGTTTTTCACGTCAATTTTGTCGTCGATCGATGTGTCTCTTTTCGATAATATTAACGCGTAATGCAGTCTAATTACTGCCTCTGTATCAATATAATCCGATTATTATTGTCGTGCAAAAATGTCCCTCCCGATTGTTTTATTACGCGTATGAACAGTATAGGTTATTTCAGTATTTTATTATTTCATTAGAAGAAAAATCTTTCTAGCAACGTGCATTTCATAACTCGACGAAATAAGCTTTAAAAAGAGATTAAAGATGATAAGATTTGATATTTCGCTCATTTTATGTCGAGAGCCTCTCAAAGATGTAATTTGAAATTTAAAAAGTATTTAATTATAAAAATCCAAAGTAATTATTTACCATAGAAAATGTCAATATTACATAAAGATTTGATTTCGTTTTAATTTCGTCGAAGTAAACTTTAAAATAGAATAATAAGATTTGATATTTCACTTTACAGAGAAAGATCTCTTAAAATTATAATTTGAAATTTAAATATTTAATAATAAAACGTTTTTTAAATCTAAATTTTCGCACCAGGAAATGTCAATATTATACGAAGACATTCCAGTTAATATCTTCGATATTATTTCTGGAACTTTATTGCTCGTGTTATAGCCGATTAAATGACATATATGTGTATGAAAATCTTCGCATCGTAATGGCCTACAATTTTTCATTTTGCATTAATATTCAATTTCTAACTCCTTGTCATGCATTATACTTGGAGCTTTACTCGCGCCTTATAGCAGGTTTATTGCATGAGAAATGCGCGCCATTCGAACGAAACGATTTTCAGGATGTTGTCCGGACATTCCCTGGTCTTACTCTCGTGGAAACTCATTTGAAAAGTGCATATTCCGCTTTTGCGGTAATAATAATGTTGCTCCTTGGCCATTTATTCTCTCTTTAACATTCTGCGTTCACTACACTATATTATGTTAACTACGTCTAAATTTTGATTCTTCTTCCTTTAAATAAGGGGGACAAATATGAGTTGGAAAATGAATTATTACAACGGTCGAATGAAAAAAAAGAAGTATAAAATAAATTCTTCTTAGTTTGAGAAACAAAGGGACTCGTGGAAGAGTGGTGACTGTAAAAGCCAGCTGCTTTATTATGAAGTTCTTTTTCTGTAGTTATAAGCAGAGTGATTATAAAGAAGTCCCTTAAGAAGTGCAAAGAAAACAATTGTAAATTTTACATAACGCTGCAAAAGAACGCACACTCTACGAGGGAATAAAAAAAAATTGCTCGATATTTTCCCGAAAGCGAAATAAAGCATTTTTCGACAATATACTATACTTCGAGAGAAAAAACTGACAATTTTCTTCTTAGTGGAAGCTTGACTCTGCGTTAAGCACTCTTGTATATATCTCGTGCAATAAATTTCAGCGTAAGTCCTTCCTATGTTACTCGGCGTAGCCCATGAGTCCCCATTTCTTCCAGTTTATTTGCTTCTATATACACTGCGTTTTATATTGCATATAGTCTCTTTTATAGTGCGTCGCGAACGATAGAATCATTATTACGCTGCTTTACTAGCATTTTAGTGGGAAATTCCCAGTAGAAATATCGTTTCATTCCAATAATCGGCAGTCGTCTTTAACAATCGGTACAGAAACACATTTTCTACATTTACGCATTTTTTTTATACTTTACGCAATAAGTAATAAAAGAAACGTTATTGAATTTATGAAGAAAAAAACACTTGTGTATCAAGTATCAATATAATCACATTACAATAAACATTACTATAAATTAGAAAAAGATAATAATAGGTAATAAATAAATTTATATGTTAAACATTTAACGTTGTGCTATTGCAATAGCAATATACTCATTCCTAATACTACACATCAATTTGTTTTCCTATTTATTAAGCTAATTCTATTGACGCGAATTAAGCTATTTCTACTGAGGCAAATTGTTTAGTACATCACAAAGACAGAGATTTAATGGGTATGAGGGCGGAATAAATTATAATTTTTGGATAAGAGAATTTTTAGTCTACACTTTTATCTCATTTCTTTGCGAGAGTCACCCCAGCGAAAATTCGCCCACGACCGTTTACTCTCACGCGGTTTGCATTAAGGGGTGACGTCGGCAACCGTACATGCAGCCTGCTTACGCGTCGCTTTACTCGCATTTTAGTTTGCGTATCCTGCCAACGCGGTTATAAGATCAAATGTTTCCCGTGAAATTATACGCTAACACAGGCAAAAGGCGGCGATATCGTTTCATTGCTCGTAAACACCACCTCCGCAATAACTTGCACTCGCTGTTATTTGACTAATAAATTGCAGTTAAAAATGAAAAGCTTTCCTTAGAATTTGCGATGGACGAAGTTACATTAATTACACGTGTATTAAATTACACGTTCGCGAAATAGCTTTGTCTAACCGCCCTTGCATAGATTCAGCGGACTTATATAAATATCATAAAGTTACGACCACGATGTAACGCCGGATTTTCATATATCTCACGTTTATGAAAGTAAATATATGCGTCTGCATCTCTTCTATAT